TACCTGAACTTCCTCCTGCAAGCTTTTTTTTTTCTTTTTCTTGAGGAAAAAATGTCTTTCCATATGCAGTAATGAGCGCTGAATAAGCTACTATATTCAAAGCGATCATCAAGTTTAGTAGACCAGCCATGAAAATACCAGCTCAGTAGTAAAGAGCAATGGCACATAATGTTAGGAGAAGCCCAGAGAACAAAACAAGAAGATGCTACTCTGCAGCTCTACAGTGCAGAGAGATCTTTGATGAGAATAGCAGGTCTGCACCATCCATCTGAGCAAGATCATGATAGAAGTAGAAAAGTTATGGAGAACAATTTTGTTGTTGTTGTTTGGATAACAAAAATATCAAAATTTTGGGATGGTTTCTGCTCAGGGGACACATACAGAATTTCTTGGTTTTGAAAAAGAAAACTGAAAAGCAGGAAGACAAAGGCCTACTAAATATGTTCTTTCTTGGAGATGGGGACTTGAGGACTGATTATACTCATTATTAGAAAATGTCACAGGAAAAAGAGTTATTAAATATAAAGATACCATGTCTGGTCACTGTCAAATGAAAATGAGAATCTCAGTGAAATTCCAAATGAAATCTCATGTACTGTGTCTTTGTCACACACAATTGCTGCTCCTTTTCAAGGCATCCACAACCAGTCTCCGTTCTTACTGATTTCCTGCCTCACATCACTCTCTGTTGGAGACAGGGCAAGGGCTAAATGTATCTTTGATCTGATCCAGCATAATCTACTTATGCTTTTGAGTCTTGTTAGTGAAAGCAGCACTATCTTCCTTTCCATCTCCCAGAAGCATTCTTTGGACCACGCTGTAATTGCTCTGTTCCTCCCAAATTGAAGGATGAAGACAGGTAGAGCTGCGCCAAACTCGGCCTTGCTATCTGCTCCTAATTCTGACCATGCGATTGCGAATTGGTCACAATTTGTCCGCTCATACTTGCTGTAAGAAAGCTATGGTCACTTCAACATGGTCCAAACCAGTTTGTAAGCAGCAATGTTTGAAAACCAATCTGCACATCTCTGATGATAAGTACCTGCAGATTAAGTTCTTTTGCATTTATCCTGCACATTTCCAACCCCAACAGCTGACTGCTGGCTTGCCAAGAGTACATTGGACATTATTTGATTTGATCATGTTGACTTGATTGATCAGGTCCAAATTGGACCTGATTTGGCCTAAATTAGGAGGAGAGTTTCCAGGAGGTCAAGGGAGGGGAACCTGCCCCTCTACTCAGCTCTGGTGAGGCCGCACCTGGAAGTATTGGGTGCAGTTCTGGGCTCCCCAAGACAAAAGGGATGTGGAGCTTCTAGAGAGGGTCCAGCGTAGAATGACAAAGATGATCAAGGGACTGGGGCATCTATCTTATGGGGAAAAACTAAGCGAGTAGTGCCTGTTTAGCCTGGAGAAGACTGAGAGGGGATCTGATCAACATGTATAAGTTCTTGAGGGGAGGATGTAAAGAGGATGGGGCCAAACTCTTCTCCATGGTGGTCAGTGACAGAACAGGGGTAATAGGTACAAGTTGAAACACAGGAAGTTGCATCTCCATGTGAGGAAGAAATTCTTTCCTGTGAGGATGCCAGAGCCCTGGCACAGGCTGCCCAGAGAGGCTGTGGAGGCTCCTTCTCTGGAGATCTTCAACCAGCCTGGATGCCACCCTGTGTCCCGTGCTCTGGGTGTCCCTGCCTGAGCAGAGGGGCTGGAGTAGATGATCTCCAGAGGTCCCTTCCAACCTCAACTATTCTGTGATTCTGATGCATTCTAGGGTAGACAGCTTCCAGGTGAACTCTCAAGCTAAATGGCTTCATAATTTGTGTCGTTGTAGAGAGATGCCAGAGCTTCAATGAGTTGACCTCACATCTTTGCACTGTAATAGTTCTTCTACCCCAGGAAACATCCTGACCGCAGAAGGTCAAGATGATGCTGGCCAGTCACCTAGTATTTTCTTTTTATCCTACTCTGTTTCGTCCAACACTCATTGCAACTTCTGCACTTTGGACCATGAAATTCCTTAAAGGTCTTTCACTGACTCTTGTTTGTTTGAAAATGATAGCTTTAATTCATAGCCTAAATCCACAGGTTTCATGATGCTATTCATCTGAGGCAGCCAGCATGGTGTAAAGCTTCAAGTCTTCTGCCATCCAAGGCTGTGTATAATGATGGGTGCCAACAACTTTCATTCATGCCAAGCTCCCCAAAAGAACTCCATCCTTTGTGGCATAATTGAACTCAAAGAAGAGCATAGGAGCTAAAAGAATAGCAGTGTGGGAAAAAGACAATCTGTGCTACAGCTCGTATTGTTGGAAGAGGAGTAGTTCCCACAACCTCCAAAGTCCTTGACTGTCAGGAATCCCTTTGCTGTTGCCGTTAATGCAATCTTTCATATGGGCACATACCAGGTTTCCTCTTGGCACTCATTGATCCTTCTGCCTTTCTTGAAACATCTAAGTTTGTTCTTTCTCTTCCCCAGAGGACTTCACTTTGCCTTTCTGAATTGCTCTAAATGCTTTCTATTTTTTGCTTGCAAGGAAACAGCCTGTACATTTTCTTCTTCTAAATCTTGCTGGTCACACTTCAAAAATCTTGCAGTGATGGTTGTTCTCCTAGTTTTCAATATGTTATCATCTCTAGAGAGAACTCAGGCCTAAGTGGCCATGTTGGTAGGAGAAAAGTGATTTCAAAAGTAAAAAGGTGTTGCATCATAGAACTTTATGCTTGGCATCTTCTGTGCCAAAAGAATGGACAAATGAACTCAGCTTCATTGATTTCTTCAGAGATCAGCAAAAAATAAAGAGGAAAGACTTTTGTCAGAAGGCAGCCAGGCTGGATGAATGACATCTGCTGAAAGAACATCACAACTGGCAACTGTAGAGCAAGACACAAGGCAGTATCACTCCTTCTTTGGATTGCTATTTCACATACAAGGAATTCTCCCACTTTCCACAGCAAATGATTGCATCTTCATTATTTGATAGGCTTAGTGCAATAATGCTTCTTCCCTGCTTTCAGAACATGTGAAATGGCAAACGCCTTCCGCAGGGGTCTGAGGCCACTCACTGATGGGAAAAAATATCATTTCCCCCAAAGGACCCTCTTTGTTTATTTAACATCAAAGGGCATGAGCACCTGTACACACCTTCTCCATGAGCTTCTCAGCCTCACTGAGGGAATCTGCAGTTCACTAGTCCAGCCAACAAGTGGTTTCCTCAGGCACTCAACTGCCTAACAGGTGTTCCTAGTCCCATGAAATGGGGCATGAATTCCATGAGCTGCCTAGGCCAGCATGGCAAATTCAAATACATCATCCTCTCCCTTCTGCACGGGTTCTTCATGAGGTGCTTGCTTCCCTATGCTAAACTCTGGGATTTCTGTCCAAAAAACTTTCACTTTGTACAATAAGCCCCGAGATGCCCAAGGTACTATCATCCAAATTTGCCTGCTTCATCATAGACACTTGCCTCTTACACAGTAATTACAGTCATTTCAATCATTAGAGAGCTTACCTCCATTACCTACCTTCCTTCACCCACTGCAGGGCATTTTTGGAGTATTATCTCCTATTTTTGGCCTCCCCTCTGCTTTTCAGAACAGGGACCATCTCTTTCTTCCCTTGTAAAAGACTGTCTTGCCTTACTAATCCACAGGAGGTCTCCAAAAAGTCAATGCGCATATAAATAAGGGAGATAAGGTTGATAGAGCCTACTTAGCTTTCCGACCTTTTTCAGTAATGTATTTCACTGAAATTCTATACATACGTCCACATTGTAAGATATAAGATCCTTATAGACAAAAAGCAATAACAGAGAAGAGCAAACAGAGGTCATCAAGGTCTACAAGGAGCTGCGATATTCCAAGAGAGGCAGCAACAGACAAGAGAAGGGGGGGAAAGAGGGAGAGAGAGAGAGAGGGAAAACAGATAGACAGAGAGATGGAAAGAGAGAAAGAAAAAACAGTGGAGTTTAAGGCAACAAATCTGCAAAAAGTACAAAGTTATTTGGGGCAGTAACAACAGTGGCTGACTGAAGAACTGCAGGAGGGTCTTACAAGTTTCAATGTTAAGGATGACAGAGGCTAAGGAAAGGCTTCCACACAACAAATGACAAAATATACATGGTCTGATCATCCTGAAAAAAAACACACATGAAAAAGAAGGCACTACAGAGATATGTAAAATCACAATGGCAAAGACAGTTTGGGTGCTTATTCTCTCCTACAATGAGAAATGGAGGTAGCAAGAGACAGATATAAACTGCACAAGTACATCAAGGGCTATTAAAGATACAACTTCAGGTGCCCTTTTTGCTTTGATGAATAATAGACTCCACATAATGTTGTTTAAGGAGAAAAATTTTAAAAAACCCCAAAACACACATACACAAAATCATATTGCCCAGATGACCCAGGTGGTCAAAGGCTTAAACAATAACTGCAAGAGAGATATATCCAACAGCTCCACTGTCTTACTTCAGCAGGTGCAAGTTCCCATTCCATCTTCATAGCTCTAAGAGGTTTCCTATAAATATCAGCATTATTACTGCCTAAAATCTAAGCCCCAGATTGCTTAAATAGTATTTATTGAACACTGACAAATGACTTTTTATGACAAATTGATAGTTTCCAGTAATTCACAAAAGTTGTCATGCACTACAAAACATTAGCAAAGGAAAAAAATCTGTAATTGGGATTTGCAATTTACATTCAGTTTCTAAGAGATAGGCCATGAAATTCCACATCAGGAGAGTTTATTTTCTAGGACTAATACAGAAACCTCTCAATTCAAAATATAGAGAATACACTAATAAAAGCGCTTATCTTTTGCATTCTTTGAGACATAACATCCCAAAAGCAGCATTCTAGACAAGTCAGTTCATATATTCCTGGTATCTAGGAGGAAATTTACACTTTCCTAAATACACACACATTATAAATCTCATTAAGACCCTACATTTACCAGAAAAAAAAAAAAAAAAAAAAAGCTTAAGTATATTTAAGCATAGAATTCCTTGTGGCAGTCACTGAAGTGAAGCTGAATGTCTTCCAGATCAGATTCAGTATTTCAGGTTTGCTGCATCTTTCTGCGCATTTCTTCTAGTGCTGCTTCTCGTTCTCTTAAGAGCTGCTTAAGTCGTTTTATTTTTTCATCCCTAATTGTTTCATCCAAGTCTGGGGGAGTCAAAGGGAAAGTGTCATCTCTGAAGGAACCTTCAATAGCTGAAACATCATTTTCACAAGACACTAAAATCGGAATACTTGAGTCTGTAATGTCACTATTTTGAGAGCATGGGTCTTGCTCAGACTCCCTTCCCAGGGGAGATAAAACAGAGCCTGTGGAAATACTCTGCTGCACCAGGACTGGTGGAGGTGAAACACTTTCATTAAGTACTACAGAACTGGGGCTACTTTTGTCTGGGTTTGTACTCGTGGTTGATCTGACTGATGTTTTCCTTCTTTTTCCCGTGTCTGACAGTGGTGAGGATTTCAGTTTTCTTTTCTTAGACAAATCCTCTTCCAGATCCACAATTATCTGTACAGCCAAGAAACATACACAAGCCGCTGTTAAAGTAAGCATCATTCTATGTTACATCACAGTACATTCAACACACAACGCAAGAGTTACTTATTGCAGGCTTTTAGGGTTACTATGTGGAGGCACATTGGAAACAGTTTGAACAAACGCACTTCTACTCTCAGAAACATCTACTGGCAAAAATCCCAGTTTTACGATTTCAAAGCATTCAACTCCTTCCCTAGTCAATAGTCCATTTCTGCCTTCTCTGTGTGCAACTATCTATTGTATTTGCACATATCTAAGTTGATGAGAAGATTCAAAACCTAGAATTCTTCATACATTTCTAAAAAGAACTTGAGCACTAGAGATACTGCACACTATATGACTTCATTCTTGTCTTGTATTTTGTTGTTTAAAATTCAATTTACTTCAAAAACAGGCAGTAGATCTGTTCAATGCAGGGCTCTCAACATACAATTATTAAAACTTGAAAAAGCCTTTGACAAGTCAAGACATTCAGAGGAAAATTTAGAGCACTGTGGAGCTGAGCAGAACCACTGTGGCAGGATAAAATCATTTTAATGTACTAAAATTGAAGTTCTTCCATCTATCGATGAAAGCACTCAAGCAACTTCCCAGCTTGAGACCCAGGAAAACCTCGATGACAAAGGATTAAGTCAATGCTCTTCTACTGCACGTGAGGAGATATCAGAAGGGAGCAATCACAGCCTTCAGGCCCCCAGAGGCCTGACGATAAACAAAAGGCAGCATCCTCAGACACTCTCAACTAGCCCTTATGGGCTCAATAACATCTTGCACTGACAGAGGCAAATCTAGATGTGATGAGATCCTAGTGACAGAATGTGTGTGACAGAATGTGTGCCTTAAAAATGAAGTAGTGAGCAGCAACTAGAGAAAACAGGTTGTTGCGAGAAGCAATTTCTCAGTGATGCTCTTCCTTCCGCACTACCCTGGCTTCGTGCTCAGAGACTTGCACACTTCTGACTGAGGGTACTGAAACAGCATTGAAACCACATAGCTCTGAGCTCTGTTGTAGCACACAAGTTCTAAGGACAATTCTCACAGGCACCATAACAATTACTGACTTGTCCGGACGCACCCAGGGGGTGGGAGGGATCAGGATAAATGTGCAGCTCTATTCTGTCTATACAGATGCTATTCTCTACATGTTTTGTAGGACACTTTATTACTGAGAATTTTCAAGATACCTTTTGCTGTTCAACACATTCTTGAGGTTGACTTATTATTTCCAAATCTAATGACGATGAACTGCTAGAATCATTTCTCCTTTTTGAGCTATTACTGGAACACACTCCTTCCGATATCTCACAGGAGGTCTTTAAGGGTATTCTCCTAAGGTATACTCTCTCCTCTTTAGAGAGGCCAAATTTTTTCCTTAATTCCATGTATTGTTTCCAATGTGGCTTCTCTTGGTGTTTGATTTGAATAACCTTTCCTGGTGAATCCATCTTCTCAAACTGGATCTGAAATATATGAACAGTAAGAGTGCCATCAATCTCTGTCTCTTTCTCTGTGTCTCACCAAACATTAGTGAAAAGTTATCATTTTCCAAGAGTAACTTTTAGGTATAAGCCAATTGTGAGAAATTACCTATATATTAGCATAGATTTAACACTGTTCTTAGTTATTTAAACACCAAGTATATCAGAAAACACACAATGAACTAGTAAACCACAAAAGTAAAATACAAAGGGAATCACTTATCCTAAAGCTTCAAAATAACACAGAAAGATGATGAAAGATCAGAGATGGTGTTCTTTAGAGTGTCATCTTCAGACTCGTGAAAAAATATTCGCATTGCAGTTGATAATATTAACACAGCACAATTTGTAATCTAACTTCACTGTAACAAAAAGTATCATTACTCTTCAAGGCCCATCTCACATCAGCATACCCAGCACCAATGCACTTCCAATCTATGGTCCAAAAAAGGAAAAATAAGCAGAATATAGCTGATACAGTATTTTCACAGATGCTAAAGCAAACGAGAATGCTAATACTGGGCACTACAAAGCACAAAAATAAAAACAAAGTCTATTTCAGCCTTGTTTCAAGTGAGGAACAACAGAAATCACTGAAGTGTCTAAAATGGTCATACATATGCTTAGCTAGCAGGGGTTATTTCTGCCTGGTTAAAAACAAGCAAGCACAAACTGCATTCAGAACCATTCTTCATTTGAAAGCAAACTCGTCCTGGCCTTTTGAGCTACACAAAACCTGTTCTGCAATTCTTCATGGGTACAGAGTTTGCGGGATGTGAAGTCAAGAATTTTCTAGTTATTTTCTAGATTATGATTTTTAAAAAGTATGTAGGCAGAATAAAGGGGAAGTAACTGTCGCCATTAAAAGCTCTCATGAGTTTCTTCTGCCTGACATCAAACCATGGGAAAAGGTGGTGGATCTTTCCCCATCATAGCACAAGAGGAAAGAAATGCAAATCTTTTCTTGGTTTCACTCAGTTACCAGAAACAGAAGCTTAGTGTAACACTACAGTTTGTCTCAGAATGACAAATCCTGCTCTTCCACCTCATTCTCGCTCATTTAGCTGCAAACTGTCTTACATTATTTCATCACACCTACACCACAGTCAACACTTGCTCTGCTGCAAGAATGTGACAACACATTAGTTATCAACAAATTAAATAGCTACCAGAACTCAAAATTCCTTACATTTCCATTGGCTACACATTTTTTTCCTGGGATGAAAAACAAATATTCAATTTTATTGAATAAAAATCTTCTCATTTTTTTTTCCAAGTAAGAACCACACATTAGACCATCATTTTTGGTGTCATGACACCTGGTTTAGAAGAGCATAATATCTGTTTGATTCGAATACAACCAGGAATGTATGGTAATTGACACATTTTATTGGAAACAGTTACCTTTTGACATTCTTCACCGAAAGCACTCTTTTGTTTAGAGTGAGGTAAAGCAGACGTGGCTGCTTTGGGAGAAGGGCTCTTCTCTTTGTCATTCTGGCATACATTTTTCTGGGTCCCTACTTTGGTAATAGGGGTCACTCCACTTGAAATGCTCTGGGTGATGGGCAAACTCTTATCCTGGTTTACAGTGGAATTCTGCTGATCAGTACTTGGTGTCACCGGAACTGCAGGTGCAGACTTCAAGTCTTTTCTTAAATCAGCTGCTGAAGCAACTTCCGAATTTAGACACATTTTCAGATCTTTCTGAGACAGCACCACTCCTTTGTTTTTTGACAAGACGAGATTCACCACTTTACTGGTTATTTTAGTGACTGCATTAGAATCCATTAGTTTGGACGCCTCCTTTCTAAGTGAAGCATCAGAAGATATCGCTTGTTTGTCAGCTTGGGCTGTCAAAACGTCAGAGCCTCTATTAGTCAACAAATAGACTTTCCCATTATACATGACCAGAGCGTTATCTTTAACAGAGGTGATTTTTCTTTGGCTTCCAGCAGAGCTACTGGAACAAAGCGGTAAAATATTTGCGGAATTGTCTTCTACATTTTTCATATCTGCTAATGTTTTCAGGATCTTGGAAGCCACGTTATTTGATGACTTTACCGGAATAAGGCAAGGCGCTGACGACTGTGAACGCGACTGCACAATCCATTTCACTGGAGCTTGCTGGCACTGCTGACCATCAGATGTCACTGTTTCTGGATGAGAACTACTCGCCTTTTGTGCAGCTGTCATTATTAATGGTTTTGAAACTTCTGTGGCAGGTTTGGGGCAAATGGTTTGCAGACGCTTGGGAAGTACTGTTTTCACTGTGTTCACTGGCGACACGTAAATAACAGTTGGCATGTTCGTACTGTCCGCTCCTCCAGATACATTCGTTGCTGCAGCTGCAAGAATTTTTTGCTGTATCGCAGGTGGCAAAAAAGAAGCTGGAACAGATTTCACTTCTGCATCAGCTGGTATCTGGAGGTGGTGGTCAGAGGGCAATACTGGAGTTTTCACAGACACTGGCAGACTTTTTGTGTTTACCAACATGTATGCAGTGTTACTCTGGTTAGAAGAACTTGTTACAGCAATGTTCTGTAAAGACAGTCTATCCACTGAAACACAACTGCTTTGGACGTTAGCAGCTGATTTTGTAGTCAAACTTTCTTTTTCAGAAGATGCTCTAACACTTTCCTGTTTGTCTATTGTCCTTGTAAGAATAATCTTTCCCGGATTAGCAGACTGAAAAACAGGTATCTTGACAGATGAAGGTGTAGTAGTATTGGGAAGCTGGGTCTTAAAAGTAAGATGAACCGGATTAGAAATATTCGCTTTAGAATTATTTGGCATGGCTGAAGACTGAACTATCGGCACAAAGCTTGCTGAAGATTTAGAAATTGGAAGTAATTTCAGAAGGTTTTTTCCATCTGGTCCCGTCGTCTGAACTACTCGGTACATACAGCCTGCAATGCTTAACAAAACAAAGAAAAGAGGAAAGGAGAAGAAAGATAGTGTAAGTGAACCCAGCACAAATATTTTAATTAAAGCGTATTCCCAATGCTATGTCTTAGAAGCACACTAACTAGTGAAAAATGCTGTATCTAGCCTTCAGGAACTTCACTAGCAAAATATTATACTGATCTGCTTAGTACCATTTTGGAGCTAGTATTTCAAAATATCAGACTATGTGAAAATATATCCAATTACAACATCGCAGAGTAGCAAGGAATTACATCCTTTTCAGATAAAAACACTTTAGAAGATCCAGAAAACACCCTGAATTATTCTCCCCTACTACTTACAGGGACTTTCTGAAATGGAAAATAGTTCTTTACCTCTAGATTTCACAGACAAGTTGTATTTTTTGCTTTTGCATGCTCCTACTTAGCATTAGGAAGTATGAATATTAGAAAAGCTTTAGGAAAACCCCAATTAGATTAGTTGCATAGCAAAGATGGAAGCTGATGTTATTTCAGACATATAAAGAGGAAAGAATTAAGATGTAGAATACATTTACTTTGTGGAACGAGGTATAGGGTGACCAACCCATATGTCTGCACCTCATCTACTCACTCATTTTTAGGCACCTATAGACTACAGAGGTTGCCAACTTCAAAGAGATGACATGAAGAGCAAGTGTCATCAAGGTCCAGGCAGAAGCTCTAAAGAACTTAGAGGGATATAAATCAAGCTCTAGCAAGTAGAGTGCTTCATAAAGCAGGATTACTGGGAATCAGCCTCGGTAAATACAGGTTTTTTTTTGCTTGTGAATATTAAAAATTCAAAACAATAAAGAGACAGAACAATTTTGTCAATCCAAAAGTTAATTCTGACCATCCCAAATGCCAAGGTAAGAATGGCAAAAGACCTTTTAAGGTCACAGTGGGATAGAATTTTTCCTGCTTCACGTGAGTTTGCCTTGTTAGGACAAGAGGAAACGGCCTCAAGTTGAAGAAAGGGAGGTTCAGGTTAGATATTAGAAAAAAAATTCTACAAAGAAAGAGTAGTCAAGCATTGGAACAGGCTGCCCAGGGAAGCAGTGGAATCGCCATCCCTGGCAGTACTCAAGAAATGTGTAGATAAGGTGCTCAGGGACATGATTTAACACTCATGGTGTTGAAGGGCTTACGGTTGGACTCGATCTTGAAGGTCTTCTCCAACCACAACAATTCTATGATTCTATGCCTGAATGATGGCATCTTCCCCCAAAACTCCTGGATCCTCAATAGAACAACCTAAGGTCCAAAACACTGCAGCAGTGAGAAGGCAGCTTGAGAGCTGCAAGAACAAAATGGGGTTTTCTCACGAGGAGAGACCCAATTAACTGGAAGTAGATTTCACTGTTTGATATCAGATCCAGAATGATTAAAACGCCAAGCTGCCAGCTCAATTTTCAGTCACCAAAAACATTTTAGCTCTGTCCTATTGCCTTTCGACATCAATAAATGTATTAAGAACCAGGACCGAAGACTATTTCCAAATCTCAGCCCAGATGAAAAAAAAAAAATACTGAGATCTGTTTATTCTCGAGATCTGTTTATTCTTTTGAAAAGGCTTTAGACACACAGAGTTTTCCTTGATGCAACCTTAGAATTAGGTTTTATGTTCAATACTTTGGTACAAAGCCTCATTTCTAGGCATACAGCACGACAAAGCAGATATTTGTGTGATGTATTTGTGTAGTAGGCAGGAAATTCTGCTACTGTATTTTATTTTTAAAAACAATAATGTACTAAAACTGAAAGACACGGGCAATACACCACATCGTTCCTTGTAGAAGCTGCCTCAGAAGGTTTTTGTGGAATATTTCTTTCAGAAGAAAAAAAAAAAAAACACTTGAGAAAAATAGTACCAAAGTCAATGACTTCATCTGAATATTTTTATGTAAACCAAAAGCTGAAATTAAAAATATTTGAATGTTTGAATATAGTCAAGCAGAAAAGATTCATTTTTGGAGCTCCTTTCAACCTCCTAGTGCTACTGATAATGGAGACTTGGCAAGATCAACACTGAGCTACTGGACAGAACTTTGCTGTATCTTTTTATGATTGAATCTTTGAATGCTTCGTCCATTAACTTCTTCATCTACATTCTCTACCCTTCTTCTCTTGTAGATATAAGAGTCACTTCTCTGAAGGAGAATTCAGATGTAACTTTTCAACAAGGTCTGTAGACGTGAATGGCTGAACATGGATCGTCTCTCTGACTTCCCAACAAACAAACAAGCACTTAAACACCACTCGACTTAGCTAGCAGTTCAACAAGGTATCAAAGGGCAAAAGAAAACTTTCAACAGACTCCATCTGTAACAGCAATGGGATATCTAATTTCTGGGGGAGGAGGAGGAGGAAGAGTGGCAGATTTTTTTTTCCCCCCTTGCTTCCCAGCTCTTAAAAAGAGAGCAGACACACAAAGAGGGAAAAAAAAAAAAAAAAGACAGAGGAGGCATTTATAGAAACATTTTCTAAACAGAAAGCCAGTGTCTGGTGCTTACTCCCACTCTTGTCCTTTTGGCCCTGCATCAGCCCACACTTCCCTTTCAGGGGTACTTTCAAAGCTATGCTAGAAAAAGAGCTGTGCAAGGATCTTTTGAGCAACCTGCCTTTGGAAGAAACCTCCCCTAAAAATCCAGTTTGCCTGAACTCATTCTACTTTTCATGTCTGCAAAACACAAACATAGATTTTTACTTCTATACTCCATAGACTAAAAAAAGAAAAAAAAAAGTGGGAAATCCAACACTTACAGTTTTCTAGACAATAACATTCTTTTATTTGCAATAAATTCTTTAGCAGGTACTTACAGGATTGTAGAAACACAAAAAGCTAAGATAGGGAATAAGGAAGGAAAGGAAATATTCAGGTGAGACAGATATGGATAAAAAAGACTTCTCGATATCAAACATCCATGAAGCAGGAAAGAATCAATGACAAAGACTTTAGATGCTTATTTCAGATACAGGTTGAGGTTGCTTTGCAAAGAAATAAATGATGCAAAGAAATAAATAGGAATGACATTTCATATATTATCAATATAAAATAAAACATTTTGACTTGTTTGTACATTTCTGAGCAATGAAGAGAAAGAAAAAAAAACCCCCACTCAGCAGGCCATTTCTGCTCTTTAAAGCAGGATGTTTTAAGAATTCCTCAAGAAGAGGGAAAAAGAATATTCTATTCAGTCTTCCACCTTAGGGGTGTGAGATATTTTAAATGAGAGTGATCTAATTTCCTAAATATATAAAGAGGAAACCTATAAATTGTGCAGAGATTAGCAATACCAATACTCTTAAGGTGGCATAAGAGCAAACAGCTTTTAACCGTAGGTCCCACTATTTCAGATTATTTAGCAAACCTCTTGCCAAAAACCTGT